CCAATTTCACCTGATCTTAAACCTGATGAAAAGGAAATTATTTTAGTGACACATGATGAATGTATATTCTATTCAAATGATGGGAAGAGAGGAATTTGGGCTAAAAATGGTGAGTTACCATTAAAAAAAAGGTAATGGTAGGTCAATAATGGTAAGTGAATTTTTGACTGAAAAGGATGGAAGATTACATTTAAATGAATTACAAATAATCCATATGTTCCAGAAGAATCTAGAGTTATTTTAAAACCAGGTAAAAATCATGAGGGGTATTGGACTAATGATCATTTAATTGAGCAGGTGGAATTTAAAGCTATTCCAATATTTGAAGCGCTTGTCTCAAACTGTACTGCTCTTTTTGCATTTGATAATTCAACAAATCATGGTTCTTATAAATCAGATGCTCTTGTGGCAAGTAGAATGAATTTAAACCCAGGAGGTAAGCAGCCAAAAATGAAAGATACTGACTGTTTTTGGACCTAATAATATATTTCAATCCATGGTTTTTGAAGATGGGATACCAAAAGGAATGAAACAGATGCTGGTTGAAAGGAACCTGTGGAAAGAAGGTTTGTTAGCTTATTGCAAGTTATGCAGAGAAAAGTTGTGGATGAAGGTAGGGTTGATTGTTGTGCCAGAAGAATTCTATACTTACAACCTGATTTCAAAGACCAAAAATCAGCTTTAGAAAAATTAATTTTGGAATCAGGATATGTTTTTTACCCTAAATTTCACTGTGAACTAAACTTTATTGAGTATTGGTGAAGCTAAAAAATACATTAAGGATAAATGTGACTGCACATGGGAAGGATTACAGAGGACAGTACCTGAAGCATTAGATTCAACAGATGTAATTACAATAAGAAAATTTGCCAGAAAGTCTTGGTGACATATGGATTTATACAAAGGTGGTATATCAGGTAAATTAGCAGAGTATGCTATTAAAAAAAAATATAAATCACACAGAAAAATTCCTGAATATGTTTTTCAGGAATTAAATAATATTAAAATAGATTAAATTTCTAATTTTTCAATTTCATAAAATATTTTATAATCATCATATTATTTTTATTTTATATTAAAATTAATTATTATATATATTTGAAAATAAATTCCTATATACAAATAAATTTTTTAAAAAATCTCATTAAAAAAAGACAAAAAAAAAATAGTGAGGAAGTGATCTTTCCAAATAAATAATAATAATCTTATTAAAAAAATTATTTGCACTTGAGAACAAATCTTTCACTTTTATCTTTTATTTGCTTTTTTTTTGATGATTATTTTTACTAATCCTCTATGTATAATGGTTTTTGTATTTTTTGACTTCAGTCCATTCTGTTTATTTTAATAAATAAAATTCATCATCAATCTAATAATAGTATGATTATGAATGGATCCAATATTAAAAAAAAAACTCACTTTGCTTTCAGTTCAATTCTATGCTCAAATAAAACTCCATTCTTAAATAAATAATTTTATTTATTGGGTTTATTCCATGAGGAATATCATTTAAAACCCCCCATAATATAAATTATTTTGTTAGATGGTCCAACTTCTACAACAATTTCTTCTGGATGTGCTATGGTTGGGACATTTGCCATTATTATATATTTGCTTCTATTTCAAAATAAAAAAATAATTTAATTTTTATAAAATTAATGTATTTTTATAAAGTTAATGTAGAGAATATTAATTTTATATGATCATACCCATCATCAAAAACATTATAATTCTTATCATCATCAAAAATTATTTTTTCACTGCCACTACCATTACTGCTACTATTATTATCAGCAGCACTGCTGCTACTATTATTATTAAAAGTACCATTACTCCTGCTACTATTATTATCAACATTACTGCTGCTACTATTATTATTTTGAGTACCATCACTGCCATTATTAATATTATTACTACTTCTATTGTTATTGTTATTATTGTTTAAAGACTAGTGCCGTAATCCAAAAAAGGAAAAAGTATGGTTGCAAAAGTGTTGCAAAGGTAATTGCAACCACTTTTTATATGCTGTAAATACAATTACTACCATTATCATAATTTACAGCACTAGCCTTTATTATTGTTACCATTATCACAGATATATTTTACTAATTTATTACTTCTATAATGGGTAGCAGCTGAAAAGATAATTAGGTGGTCTTCATTATCATGATATTCACAATTATTGTAATTGAAAAAAAAACACCAGCTTCAATCCAATCATGAAAGTGCATATGGGCAAACCTAAATTAATTATAATTAATTTAAAATATTTTTTAATATGAATCAACTCTCCATAATATAGTTGAAATTATATATGTAAAGAAGTACCAAGAAAAAAGTTTTACCTTTTACCAGAAAATTTTTTTACATGGGAATATACTGCTCCAGGTAAACTAACATTTACCCAATTTTCAAAATAACTGGCATTTTTGTTTGTATGATCCGAGCCTCCAATAAATACTGTAAGTTCAGGATTTAAACAACATTCTAACCATTTAATAATAGTTTATATATATAAGACAGGAAAGGGGAGAAGCATCTTTCCCAAGTGAGGGAGAAACTTCAAGTGAGGGACATTATTTTTAAGTGAGGGAGGAATGGAGGAAAACTTCACTTAAAATAATGTCTCTCACTTGAAGTGGAGAAAAGCTACACTTGAGAATAGATACCTCTTATTAATTCATATTCGTTGTCCATTATCATTAGTTATAAAATTTAAAAAAAAAATTTTTAATCTTATATTACTACTAGAAAAAAGTCAGAATTTGATTGGCTATGTCACATATGATCGACATTTTAATTTTCGGACTATTGACCATTATAGATAGAATTACCTGAAAAAACTTCTTTAGATTACGTGCAGCAATTTTCCAATGATGCAGTTATGGTACAGGAGGTATTAAAGATTTTAATGCCTTGTTTACTTCTTCTAAAATTACATCCAACCCTTGATGCTAGTTAGATAATCCTGATCAAGATAACACACAATATTTTTCTACCAAATAACATACACTTGGATGAAGTTTCATTAACTGTACTTCATCTGCAATTTCAATTAATCAATAAATTGGATGACAATGAGCTGACCAAATTGGGGAAAAAGTTCTTCTTGCTGCACTTTTTAATAAAGGACAGTTAGTTCTTACAGCTGTTCTATAATTGATAATAGCTGCAGATAATAAAATGTCTGTTCATACAATTAAAAATATTAACATTAAATTTATAAGTTTTCTGTTGTAATTAACAAACAGTATTAAATGTTTTTTTACCTGTTCATATTTTATTTGATAAATTGGATCCTGTTGTTCTTTGGCCCAAGTTATATATCCTTCAACTGATGGACTAGAAGTATTTTTTACATAAGGCCACATAAGTTCCAGAGACATTGCTTTACAATATATATTACATACAGAGTCCCAGGACTTATGATGATCATAACACTTTTTAAAATAGGCAAGCTCACCATCAGTTTTGTAGCCTTGGCATATTGCAAACTGCTTAAGATCAATTTCCCTGATTTAAATATAATAATAAATCATTAAAATAAATCAATATAATAAATAAAGACATTTTCTTAAAAAACAAAGCAAATTAATAAATTTACCAATTTAATTCAACATATTCTCAAAGCATATTCATTTCCTCATGCAATTGTCCAGGTATAGGAACCAACCAAGGAATTTCTGAATTTCTTTTTAGTTTGATAATATGATGATATGGAACACCATCACATTCTACTGCAATCCATTTACATGTTCCATCCTCAATTCCTGATATTTTCTTTATGTGAAAAAGAATCTTTTCAACATTTGCAATTGAATTAGGGTTGATATTAATGGGATCAGGAACATAAATCTCAGGAACATTGACGCCTTCATCAGCAACTGGTTTTTGAGTAATACTAATACATGGATTAGTGTTGGTATTAGAATCATTTTCCAAATTATGTGGTATAAAGATAGTTGGCTTTATTAATTGATCCGAAGAACTTGTTTCTGATTCAGGTGGATTTTGTTGTAATTCAGATAATTTGAGTAGTTGAGTATTGCATATTGGACAATTCTGTTTTTGATTTGAAATGACCTTTTCACCACAGTTCAGGCATTGTTTTTTTGCAATTCTTCTTTGAAATATTATTTGCAATAAAAGCTTCAATATTATTAGTTGCAAATGATTTTTCCCTACATAGCAGATCAAGAATTTCCAGAAGATAAGTATGCAATTCTTTATTAATTTCTTCTTCCATCTGAGGAGAAATATCAAAAAGTTATTTGTATTGTAATCTATTTAGAGAAATATGCAACCAAGGTGTGTTGTTATATTGCATTTCATTTTGTGACTCCATATTTAAATGCAACAAAACTTGTGACTATATGATAGATAAATCACATTATTAAATCCACAATCAAGATGATTTTTTTGCCCTTTTGTTCATTATCAAATGCAAGAAATAAAAGTCCATTGGGCAAAGGTTCTTCTTCTCCAGCCAATCTATCTAACCAGTTTTGAAATGTACAATAACTTCCTGAACTTGTTATGTGATTATCTATGTTAACAACTTTTTTTGAATGTGCCAAGGAATATTTGATAGCTGATGCTGCAAGATTAATTTCTGATACATATTTTCCATGGTGTGAACCATATATTGCATCAACTGCAACAGCTTGCTTAAAAAGTTTTTCTTGATTTACATCATCAGAATTATTATTCTGTGTTAAAGTTTTGATGAACCTTACAACAACTTGATTATGTTTATTTAACCAAGATTGGGGTGAGTAATTCATAAGATTTTCTAATGACAACCTGTCATTATTCCTAATTAGTGAATTAACATTATCATAAACTGATTCATGTTCAGTTAATGCAATTCTTGTTACTGCTTCAAGGCGTTCTTGCTTATTACTAAACTGAGAATTCCACTGGTTCATAAAATTTTCATTTTTTTTTAGATTGTTCTTGATATTTTTCATTAATTTTAGTTGTTTGATTATATGAATTGTTTAATTTTTTTTTTTTAATTCTGCTATTTCATTATTTTTATCCTTCAATACTTGTTCCATTTCTGAGATTTTGTTATTAAGATCCATGTTAATTCTGGATTGTTGTTGAAAATTTGATTCACACTCTGAAAGATCAGATTCGTTATCAATGATTTCATCTGTCGGAATCTTTTATTTTTTTGAATTAATGGTTCTGGGATTAACAAGGTTTTTATAAAAATTGTTAGTAGCAACTATTTGATTGTAATGTTTTTCACACAATGAATAATCTTCTAAAGAATCAATTGATAAAGATAACTCGGGAAAATACTTAATCAATTTATTTATTTTTGTAGCAGCAGCATGCTTCCAAGTTTGTGAGTCAGGTTTACATGGCCACAGTTGACTCTCTGGATATTTGCCAACTATATATTCAAACAAACATTTTAAATTCTTAGCTAATTGCCTTGTATTCGCCATCATAATTAGAATTAATCTGGGTACTTCCAATAAAAAAAATAAAAAAAAAAATAGTAAATAATCAAAAATTTAAGCCAAACTTTGGCTCATATTGAGGGAAAAAACTAATGTGTAAACCTTTTCAGATGAAGACGGATTAATAAACTGTATATTCAAGAGAGTATATTAACTATTTTTTTAAATAAAATTTTCTATATAAATGAACATTAAAAAACTATATGAATCAACTTGTTTTAACTTAAACAACTTTAAAACAATTTTGGCTAATAACAAAAAGTAGTTTGGGCAATTTCAGCTACTAATAGAAGCAGTTTCGGCCAGAACCTTAGTTATGAATCATTTATAAAAAATAGTTCAAACAAAAGAACTTTTATTAATAAAAAAATTTTGGAACCAAGTGAAGAACATGTTTTACATCACAATGATAAAATTTTAGTCAAGACTCAAGAGGGCTTTATTGGTAAGTAGTATAAATCAATTAATTTACATATATGTTTATGTTTGTATGTTTGATTAATATTTTATTTATTCAATTATATTATATAGAAATGCAATTTTTTGAAGATGCCAAAATTGATCTTGAAAATCAACTTAGAGAAGTAAGGGATTGTAATAACAATGACAATAATGCTGGTAATGATAATAATAATAATAATATTATTAAAGCAAGACAATTCAACAACAACAACAACAACAACAACAAAAAATTAATACTTTTGAAACAGCTACCACCAGTTACAAGAAAAGTCATTATAATCATTGCCTTGATGTATGCCACAGGAAAATTCAGATTGTTAAAATGGGAGCCAAAGCAATCTCATCTGTTGTATTTCTAAATGAAAAGGTTTTTTTATCAGAAGCCCAAAAGCAGATAACCATTGGGCATGATCTAGAAGCCAATTTGACAATTAAACACCCATCTGTTGCAAGTATACAATGTATACTTACAATTGTAAGTAACAATAGCTTAATTAATCATTCATATCTATTATATGCACATATTGAAATCATTATCATCTCTATAATAATATTATTATCATTTATTATCCATTAGAGAAAACAGACAAAATGCATTATGTCAAGGAATTAGATTTGAAACAGTTGTAAAAAATGGCTGGAACAGGAGAACTTATGTTAATGATAAACAGTTGAAATGGAATGAAGAACAGATTTTAAATAATAATGATATATAGAATTTCAATCAAGGTTGAAGGGGCTTTTTTGGTAAGTAGTATAAATCAATTAATTTACATATATGTTTATGTTTGTATATTTGGTTTATCTTTTATTTATTCAATTATGTTTATATAGAAATACAATTTTTGAAGATGCCAAAACCAATTATCTAAATCTATTTACAGAAGAAAAGAATTGTTTACCTGCTCAATCAGGAGAAAGATATCATGTTATAAATAATGAAGATGGTAGTAGTGACTGGCAAAACATGCATAGTTAAAAAAGTTAGATCAAATAATTGTAATGATGAAAACATTTACACCACTAAAATTATCAATGTCAGTGATGGAAAATATGACCAAAACAGAATAATTGAATATAGAAATGAAATTGATATTTTGAAAACATTGGGCCATGAGAATATTATAAAGGTAGCTGATGATTATTTTGATGAGGAGAATAGTGATGTTAGCCGGCTAAGAAATTTATCGGCTTAGCCGGCTAAGAAATTTTTAAACGGCTTAGCCGGCTTGAGCC